TTCCTCTTCAAGTGGGACAAAGAAAGGTCCCATTACTCCTTCTTCGAACCCAAAGGAAGCACAGTGCTTCTATTGCCAAGATAAGGGACACTTCAAGCGAAGCTGCCAAATATCTGCAAGATGTAAAGGATGGGAAGGTTAAACCCACCCATGCAGGTATTTACACAATATTGTCTAACAACTCATCTAATGCTAATTCTTGGGTGCTTGATACAGGGTGTGGTATTCACATTTGTACTGATTTGCAGGCACTAAGAAGAAGTGAGCAAGTGGAGCACGGGAAGATAAACTTAGTCATGGGCAACAGGAAAGCATCACCTGTTACCAAGATAGGAGTTTATTCTTTATTGCTTAATAATGGGTTAATGTTAGATTTGAATAAGTGTTGTTACTCGCCCGAAATGGCGAGAAATATTATTTCCTTTCATGGCTTGTACAAACAAGGTTTTACATTTTCATTTGATAATAAAAATGGTGCTATTAATGTTTATTACAATGATGTATTTTACTTTAAAGCAATACCTTGTGATGGTGTATATGAAGCCGTGAATGTTGTAGACAATCTAGGAAATAATGTGTTGTATATTGATTCTTCTGATAGCTTGGATAAAGCATCTTTGTGGCATTGTCGTCTTGGACATGTTAGCAAGAAGCGCATAGGCCAACTCCAAAAGGCTGGAGTCTTGGAATCGTTTGACCTCAAGTCAGATGATAGTTGCGAGTCTTGTTTACTTGGAAAAATGACAAAGTCACCCTTCACAGGTACTTGTGATAGGGGTGAAGGTTTGTTGGACCTTGTACACACGGATGTGTGTGGGCCCTTCAGAGTTGCTACAAGAGATGCTAATCGTTATTATGTGACTTTTACTGATGATTACAGTAGATATGGATATATTTACTTAATCAAGCATAAGTCAGAAACCTTTGAAAAGTTCAAAGAGTTTAAGCAGGAAGTTGAGAATCAATTGGGCAGGAACATCAAGATGCTCCGATCCGATCGGGGAGGAGAGTATCTTAGCATTGAGTTCCTTGACTATCTTAAGGAATGTGGGATTGTCTCACAATTGACACCTCCCAGGACACCACAGTTGAATGGTGTGGCTGAGAGGCGCAATCGAACCCTGCTAGATATGGTTCGTTCCATGATGAGTCGAGCTTCGTTACCAATCTCTTTCTGGGGGTATGCCTTAGAGACTGCCGCCCATATCCTTAATCTAGTCCCTACTAAAAAGGTTGCCAAAACACCTCACGAGATGTGGACTGGGAAAGTGCCCAATTTGGACCACATCAAGATTTGGGGTTGTGAAGCTTTTGTGAGGCGTGAGACTCATGACAAGCTTGAGCCCCGAAGCGAGAGGTGTATTTTCATCGGCTACCCACAGAGATCCTTTGGTTACCTCTTCTACAGACCCAGTGATAATGTGGTCTTTGTAGCAAGAAGAGGAGTCTTTCGTGAGAGAGAATTCATAAGCCAAGGGGACAGTGGGAGGCAAATTGACCTTGAAGAGCTTCAAGAGTCAAGTGGTGAAGGAACCTCAAATACTGTCAGCCAACCTGAGGAGGAAACTCCTGTTGAGCCGATAGACGAGTCTGTACCTCCAAGACGTTCCACTAGGGTGAGGAACACACCTGAATTTTATTATGGTTATCACATCACCACTGAAGGTGATACATTTATCAGTGATAGTACACTGATAGATTTGGATGAACCTAATAATTATAAGGAAGCCATGGCAGGCCCTGAGTCTGCGAAATGGAAGGAGGCTATGGACAGCGAGATTCAGTCCATGTATGACAATCAAGTTTGGAACTTGGTTGACAATGTACCAGGTCGTAAGACAGTTGGGTGCAAATGGATCTTCAAGAAGAAGACCGACATGGATGGGAAAGTACACACTTATAAAGCGCGACTGGTTGCGAAGGGCTTTACTCAAACTCCGGGAGTTGACTATGATGAGACCTTCTCACCAGTAGAAGATTAAGTCTATTAGAGTGTTGTTAGCCATAGCTGCATTTCATGACTATGAAATATGGCAAATGGATGTCAAAACCGCTTTCCTTAATGGGAAGTTGGCTGAGGATGTTTACATGGATCAGCCAGAGGGTTTTGTCAATCTAAAGTACCCTAATAGAGTGTGTAAGCTTGAAAAATCCATTTATGGATTGAAACAAGCATCTCGCAGGTGGAATCTTTGCTTTGATGAGAAAGTCAAAGAGTTTGGCTTTTCTAGGAGTGAGGATGAGTCTTGTGTATATGTCAGGGCTAGTGGGAGCATAGTTAGCTTCTTGGTGTTGTATGTGGATGACATACTTCTCATAGGAAACGACATCCCAACTTTGCAGGAGGTTAAGGCCTGGCTTGGGAAGTGTTTTGCTATGAAGGACCTTGGGGAAGCTGCCTATATCCTAGGGATAAGGATATTGAGAGATAGGAGTAAGAGACTAATTGGACTTAGTCAAAGTACTTATGTGGATAAGGTACTGAAGAGGTTCAGTATGCAAGATTCCAAGAAAGGAGAGTTACCAATCCAGAGTAATGCCAAGCTAAGTAAGACTCAGAGTCCGAGTACAGAGGCTGAGATAGCTGAAATGAGTCAGATACCATATGCTTCCGCTGTGGGCTCGATCATGTATGCTATGACTTGTACTCGCCCTGATGTGGCCTTTGCTTTGAGCATGGTCAGTAGATATCAAGGGAACCCTGGCAAGGCACACTGGACAGCGGTAAAGAACATTCTCAAGTATTTGCGGAGGACTAAGGACTGGGTCCTTACCCTCGGAGGCAGTGATGACTTGAGAGTGGAAGGATATAGTGATGCTAGCTTTCAAACTGATAGGGATAATTTTCGCTCTCAGTCAGGCTGGGTCTTTATCCTAAATGGAGGAGCCATTACTTGGAAAAGTTCCAAGCAGGAGACAGTAGCTGATTCGACTTGTGAATCAGAGTACATAGCAGCAAGCGAGGCAGCAAAAGAGGCGATATGGCTAAAGAACTTCATCGGAGACCTTGGAGTTGTACCAGCTATAAAGGAGCCAATGGAAATTTTCTGTGACAGTGAAAGTGCGGTTGCTTTGGCGAAAGAACCAAGAGATCACGGGAGATCTAGGCACATTGACAGAAAATACCATTTCATCAGACATAGAATAGAAGAAGGACTCCTCGTGGCAAAGAGGGTATCATCAAATGAGAACCCGACAGATCCCCTCACGAAGGGACTGAGCAGGGTTAAGCATTTACAGCATGCAAGGCGCATTGGGCTGAAGGATGATATTAGTTTCAATAATTAGATTCCTGAAACTTGTAAAATGTAATTGACATTTGATGATAAATAAAAGTTGTTATTTATTTATGAGTAAGGTGTTACTATCTTATGTTGATTGTTTACTATGTTTCAATTTTGCATGTTTTTACTTCCAGAATAATTATGTTATGGTATATATCATATTATTCAAACCATCCACAGTCAGTCAAACTTTGGAAGTAAGTATTGATTTAAGACTGTCATGAATTTGGCTTGTACGATTTGTCTAAAGTGCTTTGGACAATGCAATGGTTGCTACAACATTCATGAGTACTCATAAGGGCTGAGTATTGGATTCAACCCACGCTCACTTGTATCACTTCATGGAATTTATCTCGAGTGATCGTGAGACGGTAATATCATATAAATCTTCAAACCTAGAGATATGAGTTGTTGACTATGAGTTGGTTATTCATTGATTGTACGAAAACGCATTGGTAACTCGATGTTATAAAACGTGCCTTTGTGAGTAATTCAACAAGTAGTTAGTACAAGCATATCAGTCGAAGTTTATCTGTTCCTTCTAGAAATAGAAGCGATATCTGGGCCCCTCGATGATTTGGTTTTGACCCATGTACCGGGCCCGGTCAGAACCTAATTGATGTGTTCAATTTAGTTCTATGTCGAAACAAATCGGAGATCGAGAAACAAATTGGACAATAAGTAAGACCATGTTCCATGTGTTTGTCCGGCTGATATCATGAGAGCAGAGGATTATATGATCACTTATCTTAAATGGCGTATCATCATCATCTCAGTTCCGAGAGACTTTGAAAGAGCTACGATTGCTAGTCGGTTTTGAAGTCATATTTGCAAATATAGTTATTAGACTTATCCAAGTGGGAGACTGTTGGATATAGTGTCTAAGTCCATAACTTTATTTGGTATGAACTTGACCCGACCCGGCATGGTCCATTTGGGTTGCATGGCATTGCAATACTTGGATAGACTAAATGAGAGAATAAGGCACTTATGATTATTAATATATTATAAGTTCTAATATATTAATAATAGTATTATTTAATTAGTATTTGATCAAGTATTAATCTAGTATTAATTTGGTGATCAAAGTGAGACTAATTAAATATATAAGGGTTGATTATGACAATCATCAATTCTTTTATGGTGGATTAATGATCCATGGTTTATGGGTTATGGATGTAACCATTTGGAGCTCCATGGATAGTCCATGGGAGTTACAAACCCATGGGTCATGAGAAATGAAGAGTCATGATAATTATGGGTCTTCTTAATGAAACCCTAATTGTGACACCACTATAAAAGGAACCCTTTGGCTAGTAAAATCGGGGCTAGAAGGTTACTAGTGAGGGCATAACCGTTTTTGAGTGCTAGAAGTATTCTCTCAAGTTATTCCAAGTTTTGTGGTGTTGTGTGAAGCATTTGAGGCACAACATTTGGGGTGCTAGGCTCACAAAGTCTTGAAGGAATCCAAGCAACAACAAGGTATGTATTTCTACTAGTTTTTATGTTTCATATATTCCCCATGCCATGCTAGTTAGAAAATAACCTTGAAAAAGAAATTTGCATGTATATAGAGAAAACATAGATTCAAGGTTATTAGGGTTGCATGTACACTTAGGAAGTGTTAGAATGCTCGAAACCCATCAGTTTACACCTACCCCATTGATATATTTTGATGGAGTAAAAGCCTATGTACCTTAGACGGTTGTGAACAAGATGAACTTCGATGATTTCATCCCCTTTCTTGAAAAGCTTACTAACGGAAGATGCAGAGATGTGTATTATTGTCCACATGAAGTGAGGTTGTCGGGGGGATTACATGCTATTCAGAATGACTGTGATTTTAATGAGTTTCTTGAAGATATGAATGGAAAGAAGAGATTAGATGTGTATGTGGATCATCATCATGAACCTTTGTTTGATTGGATTCAGGAGGAAGAAGCAGACCTTGAAGATGAAGAATTGGTTTCTATTGATGATGTCGACTCCATTTTAGAAGATGGTTTGAAAGTTGAACATGTATAGGACGATGAAGTTATATCTCTCAAAAGAAATTTCAATGATCCATTCCTCAACAAACTTTGTCCAATATAGAATGATGACTTTGTTGAAGAAGATCATAATGCAATACGACTTATCTACCCAAGACATGATCATACTCAAGAATGGAATCAGATGAAGCCTCAATTAGGTATGAAATACTTTACTACTGTTGAACTTAAATACTCTCTTAGTTGCTATGTTGTAGCAAATGGTTATGATCTGTGGTATGAAAAGAATGACAAGACTAGGTTGCTAGTTAGGTGTTGTAAAGGAAAGAATCCCACATGCCCTTTTAGATTGTATGTTTCCTGGATGAAAGAGGAACACACTTTTTAGATTAAGTCTCTTATAACAGAGCACAAGCGTTTTAGAGCATTCAAACTTGGTTCAATTGTAACATATAAGTGGATAGGAAAACAATTTGTGAATGATGTTTTGGAGAGTCCTAAACTAAGTTTGAGGAAAATGAAAGCCCTAGTATCTAAGAGATACAACATTAATGTGAGTGTCGGGCAGTGCAGGAATGCAAAAAGTTAGCATTGTCTGAAGTTGACGGAAGTTTGAAAGAATATTATGCCAAATTGTGGGATTATGCAGCTGAAATCAGAAGGGCCAATCCAGGTTCACATGTTGAGGTGTTCTTGGAGCCACAACCTGATAATACTGTGTTGTTTGATAGGTTTTATGTTAGCTTTAAAGGTGTTGTAGATGGGTGGTTAGATGGATGTAGAAAGGTAATTAGGGTTGATGGTTTCTTTCTTAAGGGTGTTTGTAGAGGGGAGCTCCTATCAACAGTGGGTAGAGATGCTAATAATAACATCTATCCCTTAGCTTGGGTAGTAGTCAATGTTGAGAACAAAAGGACGTGGAAATGGTTTTTAGACAACCTGATGGAAGACATTGGAGGGTGGAATGGTCATGGCATTACAATCCTCTCAGATGGCCACAAGGTAATCATTCTATTTTTTACAATTAACATTAACTGTTTTGATCATTTAATTAACTAATTTTTTTATTGTTTGAATCGGGGATTATTTGAAGTTGTGAATGAAAGACTTCCTGATGTGGAGAATAGATTATGTGCTAGACACATTCTAGCTAATTTCCACAAAAAATTTAAAGGAGAACAATACTTTAAACCATTTTAGAGGGCTGTAAATGCAACAACTGTACCAAAGTTTGAAGCAATAATGAATAAGATTAAGTCCTTGGAAAGTAGGCTTATGAATATCTCATAGACAGAGATCCAAGGTGTTGGTCAAAGGCTTTTTTTAGAGAGGGTATGGATTGTGATGCAGTAGAGAATGGAGTTTCTGAAAGTTCAATTTTGTTGTACTTGATGCTAGAAGGAAACCATTGATAACAATGTTGGAGGACATAAGATGTTGGGCAATGCAGAGATTATGGATGAAGAAGCTAAATGGTTTGAGTTGGGATTTGGACATATGCCTAAGTATCAGAAGGGAAATAGAGTATCTGAAAGAATTGCAAAGGTTAGTAACTATTTCATTATTTATACATAGGTTTTATAATGGTAACTGACTATCTTCTTGTATATTGACAGATTTTGGGTACCTTATGTGAGTGGCTACAAAGAATTTGAAGTGTTCTCAGGAAATAAGAGGTATGTTGTTGATATGATTCAGAGGGCATGTGGATGTAGAAGCTGGCAACTCACAGGCATTCCATGTGTACATGCCATATCAGCAATTTCATCATTGAATCTAGATGTGGAGGCTTTTATATCCAACTCATATACTAAAGCCTATTTCCTTAGTAGTTATGAGTATAACATCCATCCACTCAATGACATTTCTGAGTGGCCACATGTTGAAGGACTTCATACTATTTTTCCTCCATTAAAGAGGAGGTTATATGGCAGCCATGTGTCAAAAGGAAAAGAGATCAGGCAGAAAGAGAGATAAGTGGGTACACAAGGTATACTGTGTCAAGGGCATGCATTCCTCTAAGATGTACCATTTGCCACCAAACTGGCCACAACAAAGCCACATGCCCAAGTAAGCCAACTCCAGCTCCAAGCACAACAGGTCCAAGTCATTCAACTCCAGATTCAAGCACAGCAGGGCCAAGTCATGTGAGGAAGGATCCTGTGAAGAAGGGTCTTATAAAGAGAAGTCCTATGAAGAAGGTTCCTTTAAATGATGCTGGTAGCGTAAGAAAGTTTTCATAAAGAATCACAGAAATTGGTCTTCAAAAAAATGTTAAAGTCAAGGATGAAACTGGATGCAACCAAGACAAACCTGTGACCTTAGAGTAATTAGGTTTTGAAACTTAATTACCATATTACCCCTACTAGTTGTTTACTTTTGATGTACTTGTCGAATCTTTTGAACTAAATTACTGTATTACCCCTGCTTGTGGGCTTATCTTTTGTAATTATTAAATAGCTTGATGCCTTTTGTCATCCACTTTTATTTGTCTTTACATCCAATTGTCTATATAAGAATATTTCCTGTAATTTGTCTTGGTTTTACCTCCATTTGACTGAGTTAATTACATCAACATCTATATATAATAACAATAAACTTTACCATTACATAAACATAAAGTACATCAACATTCATTACATAAACAAGAATTACACAACAAGTTTATTACATCAAAATCCCCCCTAAAACCACCAGAAGCATATCTTCAACCCCAAAACATAACCTTAACAATAACCAACAGAATCAATATCTGAATCATAACCGCCAACTGTTTCACTTCTTCTCTAACAGATGCCACATCCTCTAAAACTTGTTTAAGATAATCTGCAAAATCTGAAAGAGTATTTTCTGCAATGGGCTTCATATTCTCAGGTTCTTCATCAACCCATTCCCAAAATTTACACTTTTCCCTGGTTTCTATAGTAATAAAGCCAACAACATAGAAGGAAAGAAGAATAAAATTGATGCGATTTGACAAATAAAATAAATTTAGGTGTTTACCAATGAGTTAGGGCACACTCGGAATTTCTTTCCAGGGTTATCTTTGGTCTTGGAGGTACAAATTCTTGAAGGGAGTTCACAATCACAGAGGACTTCCTTATCTACTCTTTGGTTGCTTGAACCTGTGGAGATTCTTGAGCCACTTGACATCTTCTTTCTTCTTCTACGAATTCCCCACTTCTATGTGTTCGAGTTTGAAGGTGATTCTTCCTGATTTTGGATGTTAACATTCGTTTATCAGGAGTGACTAAGCTAATTAATTTTTATGCAGTTGTTAGTGCCACGTGTGCTTCCACATTAGCAAAACCGATAGAAGTCGGTCAAAATGATCTATTGTGTACATATTAATAAAATATAAGGGCTTAATTTACAAAAAAAAAATGAGGACGAAATGTGTATATTTAAAAAAGTAACTTACCCTCTCAAGTCATTTTCCCTACTTTATATTCCAGAAGTGTGCCCCTTAGATACTTCTATTAAAGTGATTATATCTTTTATACTTCTTATTGAGTGATTTCCTATAATGATTATAATATAAACCCCTTTATTTTTATGTTTGATAATTATGTCTTTTAGATCTCATACTTATTTTGTATATATATGTATATATTTTATTTTGTGATATATATATATATATATATACACACACACACACTAATTATGGTTATTTGGAAATATCATATTTGGGCAAAGTAACAACTAGGTACGATGTCTTATCCTAAATTTGGCTAGTGCTACAGTTGGGTATAATGTTGCCCTAGAGGTTTGGCCAGAGTAAAAATGATGTATACTTGATATCACTATTTATATGGGCAAAGTATCGACCACGTATACTAAATATCACTATTTATATGGGCAAAGTGACAATGACGTATAATAATTGTCACTTAGAATTGGCCATCATAACTAGTAGGCATAATAGCATTGCTTAAAACTAGGTAGAGTAACTACCTACATATTAACCTAACATATTTATCACATAAAATACTTAATATATTGCATATAATAATATTTTGTAACATCGATAAAATAGTTTTATAACATGCATCCCCCTATATGTTATAAAACAAAAGAGAAAGGGCTGTGAACTCACTTGTAAAGTGTGAAACCACTAAAGTAGGGTAGAATCGAGACTCGGGACTCGAAGATCACCTCGGGATCGACCGGGCTCGAGAACTAACTTACTAACAACTAGAATACATAAATAATAACTTTTCTAAGATTTTGGAAGGAAATCTTTGAATTAGCTAACGAGAGAAAGGAAACAAGTTTGGGGTGAGGAACAAATGAGCAGCAACAGACTCTATTTATACTGAGAAAGCGCATCGCGCAAGGGAGGTGTGTGTTGAGCTCTTGCGACGTAGCTCTATTGCTTGTCTGACACGTGTTTGTTTCCTGTTGGTGCATCGTACCTTCTTCTAGAAGCATGTGCGCGCCATGTGTACCTCTTGTGCCGGGCGCTCTTCGTGAAACTTTAAATTTTTTTATCTCTATCATATGAACTCCGTTTTAGACGTTCTTTATATCCACACATAGCTATCGGTGGGTACTACAACTTTCCTTGAGGTTGTATTCGCTAATCCCAACTTTTGTTTTTAGCCATTACTTTTAAATGATTTAATGATTTTATAAAAAAAATCATAACTCTCGTAAGGACTTCGATTTTGGCGTTCATTTTACCACAATCCATATTTTAAAGAGTACTACGATTATCTATTTGGTGACTTCATCTAAAAGTCAACCATTCTCTTCGTACCTTTTGATGTTGATAACTTTTACTACACGACTGATTTTTACATATTATAAAATTCACATACCCTTCATATGAACTCAGATTTTTACAAAATTTATATTTTCTGGGATCGGGAAGACACATACTTTCTAAATATATAATAAATTATATATTTTTCGGTGCACTAATTTTTACGAATTATGGATGTTTTGGTTGATTTTTTCTGTTTTTCATAATATGAAACTTTATATTTCTATCATATGTTGATATATATATATATATATATATATATATATATATATATATATATATATATATATATATATATATATTAAGTCTATTATATTTGATGTTGGTCACTTTTCATAGTTAACGATCAATGCAAAAAGTCACAATTGTTACAGGAGTCTGTCTCTGCTCCCTCGCCTGGGCTCCATCTCAATCTTCCGCCTCATTGCGACCTCATGTAGGTCCACAAGTGTACCATACCACTGAGTGGACACAAACTGGAGGATGTCCGTCTTGAGAATGCTCAAGTACTGGGTCATTTGAGCTTACTCAGAAGTAGCAAAATTAGGACAAACAGATCCCTCTATGTAAAGATATTGGTGTTCTCAGTCACCGACTCAGTCCCCTACCTCAGATCCAAATACTCATGGGTCATCCTCTCCCTTTCCACCAATGCAACATATCTCATGCGAAACATCTCATAAAACTGCTCCCATGTCACATCAAACCTCAGCTCAGGGTGTACGAAACAGTCACCAGTTTCCACTAGTCCTTCGCTCCTGACTGAAGAAGGTTCAGGGCACACTTGACCTATTCGTCAGCAGGGCAGGAGCACGTAAATAAACACCCCTCGACATTAGAGAATCACCTCATTGAAATGATTGATCTCTAACTCCATTGAACACCCAAGGATTTATATTATCGAAGTCCCGGTACTGGAAGGCTCTCTCTCCATGAATCCCAATGGTTGCAATAGTCATGGTATCTGCAACAACAACTTCAGAAAGTGCCACATAACGATCATCGAAAAACTCAATCATGGTAGTCTTGATAGACCAAACAACTGTGGTATCGATCCACGAACAATAGTAACAACCTCAACAGGAATCAACTCTCTAATTTGATCCCCTCGTGAGCACCATACTGAAAATAAACCACAAAATATCAGACAAGGCGCATTTCATACCATACGAGCTTTTCTAAATAATGAAATCATAGGGGTTGTGATTTCCATGCTATGCGTTCGGGTCCTGTGCTTCTAGTAGTACAGGCCCATACTACCTTCCACACTTATCCGTATTTATCTCAGAAGATCATCACAATAACCCTAACAACACACACTATAATATGCAAACATCCTATTCTCACTCCCTAGAGAAAGGTTAGACATTCCTCAACTGGTCGGTTTCTCACACATAACCCATCCATGAAACTTCCACCAACCCTGCAACACTCGCGTATGCTAATCATACTACATAACACTGGATCCTATAGCCAGTCGAAATCTTAATTCTACCATAACCCCTTCATCAAACAAGAACATAAAATACGTCCAAACCAAACATTCCTAGGCTATAGAATCTTAGTCATGTTCAACTATGATGCATACACCAGGCAAATACAGTAATGATGTCAATTCCATACAATAAATAATTCTAGGTTATCAGGCATCACATATCAACAAATTCTATCATTCAATTTCTGGAGATCCCTAGCCTACCACTAGTATGTTGTTCTAACACAAACATAATATCAATAACAATGTGGGTAACTTGGGGTATACTTTTTTTCTCTGGCTGATCGTACACATCGCATCCTTCATTGGTTACTTTTGAAAACAATTTTGAAACCAGTTTAAAACTTTTGCACTTACCTAGTTTGAGTCTTGATTCACACGAATGTTCATCTAGTTCTCTCAAACCAAGGCTCTGAGAATCTTTTACACTCCCTAAATATTTTTTTCTATGAACTTTGACCAATAGTCTCATAAATGTTTAGTTTAATTTAGTAGAGTTCACCTCTGGAATCATCTTAACCTAGTAAAATACAACAAAAACACTTAAAATTTTGAGTTAATATTGTTAATAAAAAAGAATGGATGGTTTACTTTACTTACGTCGTATTGGGTTAAATCCATTATAGTCGAATTAGCTAGAAAATGGTTTTCTTTGACCACACACTTAGTACCCGGTTTCCCAAATCCAAGTCTTTGATGAAACATGAGTCTTCTTTCAGAAGGAAAGTCGAATCATGTAAAACCACATAAATTTTTCCCAACAATTTTCATTTCCTTTTTCTCCTTCTGTGTCCTCTATTTGAGATCATATGTTTTCCATCGTCTCTATACTTAGCTTCAACTAGTGCATGATTAACGATTCTTCACCTAAATTGTTTCAGAAAATATGAAAAATAAAAACTCTATGCATATGTATAATCATCAACCCAAAGTTACCAATGATACCTATATTGTTCTCAACCATTAGAAAAAGCTACTTTTGGGGGGAAAACAATAAACATTCAATATTAGATTTACCAGTTCCCTTGTTGACCTTGTAATGATGAAGCATTGGTCGGTTTGTTTTTGATAAAAAGAATACCCAAATAAAGAAATCACCTAATCTAATGTTTATGGTGCTCGTGGTTGTGGTGAGCCATGATGGTGGTGGTGGAAATTGTATATCAATTAGCATGGTGATCAACATGATGGTAGCATCGATGGTGAAGATTGATTTGGGTGGCGTAGAAGGAATGAATTCCAAGAGAGAGAGACTAAGAGGGCTTTGTTCAAAATGAAGACATCGGACCGTGGTTGTATGATCTGCGTCAGTGAGTTAACATTTTCCAAATGGAGTGTGAATTCTCAACACTCGTGACAAGTATTTCCATGTACTCTGCTGAAAACCCTTCTCCTTCTACTTATTGGCATCGTCTTTGGAGATGAAACTTCTTAGAGAGGGAGATGCATAATGGAGGAGCTCGTCGTTCCTTTCAAAACCACATTATAGAGAACTGTTGGAGCGATTTAACCTTATCAGCAGTGAGTGACATTTGCGATGGTGTTCACCGTGTGGCAGCATCGGTGGTGGTTTGGTGCAATGTTGAAGACAAAGGTTTTCTAGGGTTTTTTAGGAGAGGTGGGGTACATACAATAAAGACTAAACAGAAAGAGATATGTTCTTGAAAAACAGTGAGCATGTATGTACCTCATTTTCAAACACATACCACCATCCTTTTCCTTTGATAAAATAAAATACCTAAATTACCCTTGATAGTCGTGTAGAATGAATTGACCTTAGGAGCAGTGTTTAACATTTTATAAAATGTTAGTGTTTATAATAACATCGACCCATTCTTCACTAGGCAGGTAAAAGTGTACTATGTGAATTTATGAAAACAACTATTTCTTTGTTCCCTCTTACGCCTAGTTCTCGAGTGTAATAAAATAAACAAAAAAAAAGAGAAAAGAAAGTCAG